CTTCTACTGCAGCGGATACTCCATCTACTTCTACTGCTGCAGATACTCCACCTACTTCCACTGCTGCGGATACTCCCCCTACTTCTACTGCAGCGGATACTCCATCTACTTCTACTGCTGCGGATACTCCACCTACTTCTACTGCTGCGGATACTCCATCTACTTCTACTGCTGCGGATACTCCACCTACTTCTACTGCTGCGGATACTCCACCTACTTCTACTGCTGCGGATACTCCACCTACTTCTACTGCTGCGGATACTCCATCTACTTCCACTGCTGCGGATACTCCACCTACTTCCACTGCTGCGGATACTCCACCTACTTCTACTGCTGCGGATACTCCACCTACTTCTACTGCTGCGGATACTCCACCTACTTCCACTACTGCGGATACTCCCCCTACTTCTACTGCAGCGGATACTCCACCCACTTCTACTGCTGCGGATACTCCACCCACTTCTACTGCTGCGGATACTCCGTCTACTTCCACTGCTGCGGATACTCCACCTACTTCCACTGCTGCAGATACTCCACCCACTTCTACTGCTGCGGATACTCCACCTACTTCCACTGCTGCAGATACTCCACCCACTTCTACTGCTGCGGATACTCCACCTACTTCTACTGCTGCGGATACTCCGTCTACTTCCACTGCTGCGGATACTCCACCTACTTCCACTGCTGCAGATACTCCACCCACTTCTACTGCTGCGGATACTCCACCTACTTCTACTGCTGCGGATACTCCGTCTACTTCCACTGCTGCGGATACTCCACCTACTTCCACTGCTGCAGATACTCCACCCACTTCTACTGCTGCGGATACTCCACCTACTTCTACTGCTGCGGATACTCCGTCTACTTCCACTGCTGCGGATACTCCACCTACTTCCACTGCTGCGGACACTCCACCTACTTCTACTGCTGCGGATACTCCACCTACTTCTACTGCTGCGGATACTCCACCTACTTCCACTGCTGCGGATACTCCACGTACTTCTTCTACAACTACTACATCTACCTCTACTGTTACTGACACTTCATCTAATGTTTACGTCACTGGCACTTTCTCTACATCAACTTTTACCGGGGCGAACACCTCCATTAGTGATGCAGATATTTCATCTTCCTTTGCAAGTGCTGATACTCCGTCTACTTTTGCTCTTGTTACTGATATTTTACCTAATTCTACCATTGCATATACCTCATCCTCTTCAGTTGTTCCTGACACTCCAACTACATCTACTGTTACTAACGCTTCATCTACTAACGTTACTTACACATCTACTACTGTTACTGACACTCCATCTACTTCTACTGTTACTGACACCTCATCTACTGTTCCTGACACTCCAACTACATCTACTGTTACTAACGCTTCATCTACTAACGTTACTTACACATCTACTACTGTTACTGACACTCCGTCTACTTCTACTGTTACTAACACTCCTACCTCCACTCTTGCTGGTGATACATCTTCTGTTGCTGACATTTCATCTACTCCCAACGTTACATCTACTCCTACTGTTACTGACACTTCATCTACAAATGTTACTGACACATCTACTTCTACTGTTACTGACACTACATCTACTAACGTTACTGACATATCTACTACCGTTACTGACACATCTACTTCTACTGTTACTGACACTTCATCTACTAACGTTATTGACACATCTACAACTGTTAATGACACTTCATCTACTAACGTTACTTACACATCTACTTCTGTTTCTTTCAATTCATCAACTAACGTTACTTACACATCTACTCCTACTGTTACTGACACATCTATTTCTACTGTTACTAACATTTCATCTACTTCCACTGATACTGACACGTCATCTTTTACTACTACTTCATCTACTATTCGTGTTACTGACACATCTACTGTTACTGACACTCCTACTTCCACTCTTACTGATACTCCATCTACTAACATTACTTACAACATTACTTACACATCTACTGTTACGGAGACTTCATCTCCTCTGACTGCTACTAACACTCCACCTTCCACTGTTACTGACACTCCATCTACTACTGTTACTGACATTTCAACTACAACTGTTACTAACACTACACTCCTACCTTCCACTGTTACTAACACTTCATCTACCACTGTTACTGACAAGTCATCTACTCCCATTGTTACTACTGTAATTGACATTCCAATTACTACTGTTACTAACATTTCACTCCTACCTTCCACTGTTACTAACAACTCATCATCTACCACTGTTACTGACAAAGCATCTACTGTTACTGACACTGCATCTACTACTGTTACTGACATTTCAACTACTAACACTCCACATTCCACTGTTACTGATATTCCATCTACTACTATTGTTACTGAGACTTTATCTATTTCTACTGTTACTGACACTCCATCTACTTTTACTGAAACTTTATCTACTGCTGTTACTGACATTCCATCTACTAGTGTTACTAACACTCAATCTACTACTGTTACTAACACTTCACCTAC